TTTATGTGGATGGCCCAGGGCTGGACAGTGTGCCATTCAATTATGCACAATTATATACAAGCCAGAGCCAACTTGACATCATTTAAAAATATTAATAACACATGACAGCCAAACTTTAAAGAATCCATGTTAGAAAGAAATATTGAAATTATTTATTTGAAGACAAGATATATAAATAAAACTGTCAAATTATAAAATATCTATTAGAACTAATGCAAGAATTTAGAAAATTTCACAATATGAGCTCAATGTACAAAATTAACTGCATGACTATTAGCAATGAACAATAATAAAATGAAACTAAAAAAACCAATTTATAATAGAATTTAAAATAGGACATATTCATAGATAAATAAATACATGGTATGCATAACCTATATATTGAAAATTATATGAAGCATTTCTACGAGAAATTTTTAAAATCTTAACTAATGTAAGGAAACTGTGTCCATTGATGAGATGACTCTTTAGAGTTCAAAATTAGAAACAGCAAAAATGTACATCAACAGATCAATGGATGAACATATTTTGCCTATACATAAAATGGAAAGCTATTTATCAATACAAATAAATGTATTATAAACACATGAAACAATTTGAGTAAATTTGAAATTGCTGTACAAAGCCATAGTAGAAAAATATTCCTATTTTGTTATCCATTTACATAAAAATCTAGAAAATTCAAACTAGTCTGTAATGGCAGAAAAAAAATCAGTGGTTGAGAATTTGGAAAGAATGAGATAGGAAGAATGGAAGAGTTGTTTACAAAGTGACATTAGGTAATTTTGGGCATGAAAGATATATTCATTATCTTTATTGTGGCAATAATTTCACAGATATATACACTTTTAAAGTCAAAATGTGTAAAACTGCTTTCCCCAAATATGTTGTTTTACCTTAACAAGCCATAAAGAAATTAAACACAGTATTGTCCCAACCTGGCCGATAAACACATGTGGGCTTAATTGAAGGGCGGAGGGATAAATGGTTAGGTGAGCCTCGCCTTTCTAGTTCTCGGGTCTCTTGCTTTGTGGTGATTGCACCAGGGTGCAGCTGCCTTAGCAGTTCCCTGCTTCAGCTGGCAAGGCTCACTTCCTGCAAGACATCCCCAAGGAGAAACCACATGGAACTACCCCGATGCAGCCCTGGGTGCTGGAGCAGCCATGTGGAGACCCCTGCCAATGCTGAGATGCTTACACATTCACTGACTTGGCTTTCCTCCTGCAGTTGGCATCATTGCCTCTGTTTTGTGAGATGGAGGAGGACTTTGTGGAATGGTGTTGGACATATAGGTTAATGGGTTAATGTTGGACTTGTGGGCTTGGACAGCACTAGGCTGGGATGTTTTATTGATGTGCACTTAACCTTTATATAAAACTCTCTCTTATACATGAGTTTCTGTGGATTTGTTTCTCTAAAGTACCCAGACTAGCACACCTTTCCTGAAATTAA